ACTTTTATTTATTTCTAACTTTGAACGTAATAAGCTATCAGAAAAAGACGGCTCTTCCCAAACAGAGCAGGCATCGTCATTTTAAAGTCGTCTCAAGTCCTGCATCTGTCCCAATAATGAGGTCTCTGCCTGAAACGCCACTGGAAGGCCGCGTCCCGTCACTGGGACCTCTCACTGCTATCAACTGGCACGTGAGCAGAGGGCAGGCGCGCCCGCCGCGCTGCAGCAGGAAGTGCTGCAGGGTGAAGGGACGGGCAAGACGTGCAGAGGTGCGGCTAAAGGAAAGGCGGCAGTTCTCTTGGGGTCTTGACAACTAAAGCTGAAGGCAACTAACTGTGCCCCAGGAAATTGTCCCAACGTGGTTTTGATGGCTTTTGTGGGACGTGCACACCGTCCTAGGGTGACCGCCTCAGAAGAGGCGCTTCTTTCCTGGATACGTACTTTCTGGGGTGCGTGTGCATTTGGTTACGCTTTGGGTACTGTCACAGTTACATGGGGAGAGACATGCGGCCCCTCACATACAGAGTGGAGAGGTCCGGAGTGCCCTGGCCTGGTGGCTCTGTGGGTTAGAGCATCGTCCCGACACGCCAAGGTGGCAGGTGCAATCCTCAGTCCGGGCACATAAAAGAATCAACCAATGAACATATAAATAACTGAAATGACGATCGCTCTCTCTCCCTCTCTCTAAAAATCAATTTTAAAAGAAGTACAGAATCTTCCCTGGCTGGCGTAGCTCAGTGGATTGAGCATGGGCTGAGAACCAAAGCCTCGCAGGTTCGATTCCCAGTCAGGGCACATGCCTGGGTTGCAGGCCACATTGATGTTTCTCTCTTTCTCTGTCTCCCTCTCTTCCCTCTCTAAAAAATAAATAAATAAAATCTTTTAAAAAAATCTCTAAAAAAATAAGTAAAGAATCTTGAATGAGACCCCCCTTCAGTCCTAACTCCAGCTCTGTTATTTCCTCTGTGAGCCTTCACCTCTCTGGGCCTCGGTTTCCTCGTCCACACACCGGGAGAGCAGGGCCCGCCACAGGGCAGTGCCGTGGGGGACTCGAGAGGACTCACGTACTTCCGGGGCCCAGCAAGGCTCTGAGTAACCGGGACCCATGGGGCTGTCTCTAACAGCTACAGCCGACCCTGAGTCAGACCGGGCCTGAGGCCCGCTCGACCGACCCTGAGCAGGCCGGGGGGAAGAAGAGCCTGAACAAGAGTGAGCCTACCTCCCACTTGCAGCCCACATGCCGGGTAGATGATTTTCCAGGGGGCATCCAAGGTACCTTGGTTTTCACCCGGACACTCCGCCGCACGTTCACGGTGTCCCCTTTCATTCCGCGCTTATGAGATTTCTGTGGAAAGGCACAAACCCAGGGTCACTTCCCCACACACAGCTGGTGGTGGCGTCACTCCGGTGGCATCCATCTCCAGCGCTGCACGAGAGCCTCTCCTGACTGCTGCCGCCCTTTCTGCACAGCCGGCCTGCCTACCGTCTAGCCAGGCGCCCGAGACCCGCCAGTGAGCGCCTCTGTCTGCCAAACCTTCGGAGCTGGCGGTGCAAGGAGCCTGAGCTGCAGGGCGGCACCCGGCTCCGCAGCTTTCACCTCGCCCCGCGGGCATGCTCCTACCTGGCTGCTGGCCGCTGATGGTTTCGGGAGTTTTTTTATGTGGACGTGGACAGGGGTGTTCTCATCCACGTGAACATGTAAGGGGGGAGTTGACGAGCGGTCCTTCATGGTTTGCTTCTGGCAGGCCGGGGAAGACAACACAAAAAAGGTTGATCTGCGGATGAGTAAACTGGGCATAAAAAACACGGCTGGCAGCCTCCGGGGGCCGCTGAAAGCCTAGCCACCAAGCAAGCAGGACAGCTACCGACTACCGGCATGCAGGCGGGGACCAAGGCGGCAGTGCCGTGCAGCAGGCTCCTGAGAGATCCCAGCGGGAGACCACCGGAGGGATCCAGGTCCCACCGGGAGAAGGGCCTCTGCGAAAGAGCCCGAACCTCCGTCCCAGCCTGCTGGGACGCAGAGCTCTCCTCGGACTTAGCACGGAGCACGGCCAGGAGGCAGGTGCGTCCTTCTACACCGTAATCTGCACTGCACATGCGTGTTAGCAGGGCAAACACACAGCATTAGGGTGCGATATAAAGCAGGCAGCGGGCAGGGAAGGCGGGATGAACACAGAGAGCTGGAGGGAATGCCAAGATGAGAAGGTTGTATCGATCGTAAAAAACATACAAGCAAGGCAAAACCCCAACTATATACACCGTGTTCACCATCAGCCCCTAGCCCCCTCTCCAAGCTTCTTCTTCTTCTTGTTATTAAAAAGTTTTGGAATTTGTTTGGAAGGATTAAGACAACCTCCTCACACCTGGCAGCCTTGCCACGAGCAAAAAAAAAACAACAACAAAAAACCCCAATCCATCAGCAGGACGCGGATGAAGGCCCCGAGCAAAGGGTCAGGCTGCTGTGCTCTCCGGCAGGGGAGGCGGCTCCTGGAAGCGGGGGCAGCGGCGTGTTACTGGCAGGGCTTCAGGCCGGAGGGCTGCTCCCTGTGCGTGCCACCTACCGTCACAGTCACACTGGGTACGCCACAGGGTGTCCTCAAGACCTTTTTCTGCGTGAGACTTGTTACTCCGTTCTTCCCACACGATGGAAACCTGCACCCGGGCACAAGGACCAGATTATAAGCAGACACTTAGGGCTCTTCTGTTTCTTAGACCTCCCAGGATTACATACTACGTGTGGTGGGAACACGGTTACAGTGAAGAGAACCAGCCTGGGGTCACTGGGCTCCCCTCAGGTGGGCACCAAGCATGCATGGTGTGCCCCGCAGTGGGATGGAAGCAGGGGTGGCGGGCGCTCACAAGCCTGGCCTTTTAACCTGCCATCGCATCACACGGATTGTGACCTTTTGCTGAAAAGCCCAGGTGTCATCCTGTCAGGTGATAAAAAGCAGGCAGCCCAGGAGCAGCAGCCAAGGTACCCATGTGGCCAAGGGTGCAAGTGCCCAGGATGGTGCCTGGGGCAGAGACGGCTCTGGACAAACGCCCAGGGAACGACTGACAGAAGGAGCCAGGGCAACGGGCTCTGGAGCAAAGTCCCTGCGCCTCAGATTCATAAAATTACAGTCAAATGGTCAACTAACAGGATGAAAAATTAGTGTTTCCCAAAATAGCCCACTTGCTACTCTTTAACCTCTTAATAAACAGGGTGATGCCCTGGCTGGTGTGGCTCAGTGGATTGAGCGCTGGCCTGTGAACCAAAGGGTTGCCGGTTTGATTCCCAGTCAGGGCACATGCCTGGGTTGCGGGCCAGGTCCCCAGTGGGGGGTGCACGAGAAGCAACCACACATTGATGTTTCTCTCCCTCTCTTTCTCCCTCCCTTCCCCTGTCTCTAAAAATAAATGAATGAACAAATGAATGAATAAAATATTTTAAAAATAAAAATAAAAACACCATACATAATTCATATTATACATAAACAGCCCCATCACCAGATTTGCAAATGTAACAAACATTTCATCTTCAAAATTTGGCAGCAGTACACCCAGGAATTCCGGGATGGGAAGCCACTTGAAAAGTTCATTTCATCCATCCCGCTGCCTTCTGACAGCCCCAAAATACGACTTCACCCTCCCCACAGACACCTGGGGAAACAGTGCAACGTAAAAATGCAGTACAAAAATCCTTGAGCCTTTTAGCCAGCATTTCGCTGTCTTATAGCACACCCTGATAAACAATAAAAAGTGCTTACTGAGCCCTACTAACCCTTCAGCTGAGGATACTAAATCTGAGTTTCCTCTTCTCCCCCCCCCTCCCGCCCCCGTCACTTAGAACACTTCTGCTCATTTGGAGCCAGAAGAGCTGCGTAACCTCCCCCCCACAGCGGCCTTCCCCTCAAACCGCTCGGTTTCCAGCAACACCTTGCTAACTGCCACATCCATCTCCTACATCCTCGCCCTTTGTTTACGCCCGGCCTCCTTTCCAAAGGATCTGAGCCTCGTACTCCACTGAGACGACAACAGTGACCCAATTTGCTACCAGGAACTGGGACAAGTGGGACAACTGGGAAGAGGGGGAGAAAGGGAGGGAGGGAGGGGAGCAGAGCTGGGACCGTGTGCACGCATTTATTTTTTTCCCTCCTTCCCTTTAAAAATGATTTCCAAGTATTTGGATGCAGACTTTCAATACACGGAACAGAGAAGCTGAACAGAGAGGCCTCCAGCAAGCAAGCCCGGCCCGGGGGGGGCCCCTGAACCACCTTTCCCTGCCCTCCAGCGGAGGCGCCCCCCCACTGGCAGTACCTGGGGGAGCCGCCCGAGGATGAGGCAGACATGACTAGGCATCAAAGCCGCAAAGGTGGGCTCTGTTCAGGGGGACCCAGAGGGGCTTGTCAATGAGACTCTCAGGGGCCCGGCATCAAACGTCCTCTCTGAGGGGAGGAGGGTGGAAGCTTTGGGGGTAGCAGGTGGATGAAAACTTGGGAGGCGCTCCTCTCTACTGTCCAAGTCGCACAGCAACTGTCCTGCCAAAGTGGGGGGAGAGAGGAGAGGCTGAGCGACCTGCGGGGCGGGCGGGCGGGCGCTGGTCAGTGGGCGAGGGGCGCGGCGGGAGCTCCCTTCTCCAGGGAGAACAGGAGGCGGAACTCAGAGGGAGAGGACCACCGCGCCCAGGCCCCGGGAGGGAGGGTGGGGGGCCACCAAGAGGAAAACCTGAGGTGCTAGCTGACGCGCGTGGAGGGCGGGAGAGAACCGCTAGGCCCCAAGTGGGCCCGAAAGGGCCAAAACCGGCGCAGGGTGCGAGGGTTGTGGGGGCTTGTCCTGGCGGGGCCGGGGCAACTGTCTCCTAGGAGAAGGGGCGTTCCCGGCTGAATCGACTCTCCATGAGGACCAATAGTATTTGAAGGAAGGAAAGCGGAAGCAACCGGGGGGGAAAGGGGGCGCTCAGCCACGAGTGGGCGCCCCCGATAGCGGAGGGAAAATCCTCCCGGTCGCAGCAGCGGCTGCTGGGATCTAGTCTCCAGGTTGGAGCGGATTAAACGCCCGGTTGTGCGGGGAGCGGACCTCCGGCGGGTGAACCCGCTCCAGCGGGGTCGGGGCCCCGGAGGCGGCCCCCAGGGGACAGCGCTGCGTACGAAGATCGGGCAAATAACTGACATGACGAGGCCCCCGGAGAGGGGAGGGAAGGGCAGACCAGGCGACGCCCACAGGCAGGCAAGAGGGCGGGGGGCCAGTCTCCGTCGGCGGAGAAGAGGGACCACTACCCACCGGCGGGGAGCGGGGGACTAGTTTAAGCCCATAGAGAGAGGGGCGAGGCCCTGCCGGAGGGCAGCAGAGGGGCGAGCCGAGCCCCGCCGGTCGCCAGGTGAGGACGGAGGCGGCCGGCCGGCCAGTTAGCGGGAGGAGACGGCCCGCGCCGGGGGGCGGGGCGGGGGTCCAGATTCTGACGGGAGCGGGACTGGCGCACCAGAGGACTGCGGGCCGGGGGCGACCCGGAGAGGGCAGGGGCGGCGGCAAACGGCGAGGACCACCCCGCCCACGGGGACCGGCCCCGGCGGCGGCCGCGGGGCGCCCCGGAGCGCCCTGGGTCCCGCCCGCCGGCGGCCTCTCACCAGGAGCGACACGGCTGAGCCCAGAAACGCCTTCTTATGAAGTCGTTGAAATCGGCGGCCAGGGTCGTGCCATGGAGACGCCGCGGCGGATGTAGTCCTGCTCCAGCGGCGGCTCCTCCCCGCTTCCGCCTCCTTCTCCGACACACGGTCGGGAGCTCGCCCATTGGCCAGTTCAAACCCCCCGGTGAGCCTCTCGGGTTTCGCCATTTAGGCCCAGCCCCTGGCGTCACAGACATGCCCCCTCCCGCCCTAAGCTCCGCCCACCCCCAGGCCACGCGGCTCGTCCCCATGGATACGCGCGACGCTACCAGCTAGCCTTGCCCGGGCAGGCCCCGGGGTTGTGGCCCTGCTGCCCTCTCTGTCATTTTTGCCCTGCCTTCGGTCCTTCTCGAGTCCCAGAACTTAGAGGGGTGCCACAGCTCTAACCTGCTCCATTTGACAGGATTTAGGAAACCAGGCACAGAACGAGTTAGTGGCCCGAGCTGCGCCCTGTTTCTGGGAATCCAGCCCTGTCTCTACCCTGCTGTTGGTAGGGAGATGGAAACGGCCTCTGCTCACCACTCAGCCTCTCCCCTTCGCCTGTGTGTCTGTCCAGACAGGAGGAAGGGTGTGATTTCCCCGCGCTCCTCACCGCCATCCTGCACACTGGGTGCAACTGTGTGTACAGACCTACTTGGATGAGGTTCGCTTGGAGCCGCCATCTTCTCAACTATGCTTCACTGTCAGCCAATCAAGAAGGAGATGTCACGTGACTCACAGAGGTTCGCTGGGTTCCTGGAGATTTGAATTTCCTCTGCCCCTACCAGGCTTCCATTTCCTTGACAGACCCATTTCCTTGACCTTCCCCCCCCCTGCCCCCCGCCCCTATCACCTCAGCCCTGCACCGCCAGGCTCACACAACTGGTCCACCTGAGATTTTAAGTTCCGACTCCCCACTCTCCAAACAGAACCTGCTTCTCTCTTGCTCTCACAGTCTAATGCCTACTACATCCATTTTTTTCAGTGTTAGGGAGCGTTTCACTCCCTTCGGCCCGTTCATTTTCTCCCTGTTGACCATGCGATGGATCCCCAATCCCTGTGACCCAACCATCTGAGACTCTGCAAAGACCAAACCCACAAATTTTTGCCTCTCGCAGCGGTGGCTACTCTTTATTTTATTGTATTGTATTTTACTTATTAAATACTTCTTATTTATTTGATATTTCTTTTAAGATTTTATTTTTTTATTTTCAGAGAGAGGGCAAGGGAGGGAGAGAAACATCCATGCACGACAGAAACATGGATCGGTTGCTTCTTCCACGCCCCCAGCTGTGGACCCGGCCCACAACCCAAGCGTGTGCCCCAACCAGGGAATCCACCCACCACGCCACATCAGCCAGGGGTCCGTGTATTTTTGAACTGACCCTTTCTGACCTTCTCAAGGGGATGAGGGACTTAGAGAAAAAGCAGAAGGGAGTCTTCTCAAGCTTGCCTGAGGGCCAGGCAAAAAGAAACCTCCACATGATCCAGCCTTGAGGACCAGGAAACGTTGAGGGGTTTGGAGCAAAAGCCAATATGTGTTTTATTGTCAGCACACACCTTGTGCACACAAGTTCTCTCTGGAATTTGGTGCAAGGATGTGGTGAGTGCAATTAATACAGAGTAGTTAGCCCTGGCTGGCATAGCTCAGTGGATTGAGCGCAGACTGCGAACCAAAGCATCGCAGGTTCGATTCCCAGTCAGGGCACATGCCTGGGTTGCAGGCCACGGCCCCCAGCAACCGCACATTGATGTTTCTCTCTCTCTCTCTTTCTCCCTCCCTTCCCTCTCTAAAACTAAATAAATAAAATCTTTAAGAAATTCATTAAAAAAAAAAGAAAAAGAAAAGGCAAGGCTGTTAGCCACAAAATACTGGAAAGTTGACTATGATGCTATTTCTGCATGAAAATATCCTGTACATGTTCATATCTGCATGTAAAAAAAAGCTGGAGGTGGGGGAGATTTTCACTTATAAATTGTAAGTTTCTGTCATGTTTAAGCATTTTTGCAAAGGAATATGTTTCCAGTCAGAAAACCAACAGATCAAAGACTCATTGGAGAAGATAATCATGACGTATTGGTTGGAAAAAAGGGTAATAGAATGGGGTGTCTGGTAAAGCTGATGTAGGAGTTTGGGGGTAGGGGACGTGTGGATATAAATTCACACAGAAGAAGACTGCAAATTTTGGCAGGAGGTACATGAGTATTTCTTATGCTATTATCTATTCTTTTTAGCACTTAGAAAAAATTATCGTGAAGTATATATTTAAAGGAGGGCATGTAACGTGTATTTGTTTGCTAGGGCCGCCAAGGCACCGCAGACTGAACCAAACAAGAGATGCATTCTCACAGGCCCGCGGGCTGAAGTCTGAGGTCAAGGTGTGAGCAGGGCCAGCTCCCTCTGCAGTTCTTGGAAGTTCAGGCTACATGTGGCCAGCTCCCTCTGCAGTTCTTGGAAGTTCAGGCTACATGTGCTATTGTCCTCTTTTCATTAAAGATTTTATTTCTTTATTTTTAAAGAGAGGGGAAGGAAGGGAGAGAAACATCGAACAGTTGACTCTCACAAGCCCCCATCCTGGAGACCTGGCCGCACTCCAGGCACGTCTCCAGGATGACTGGGAATCGAACCAGTGACCTTTCGGTTCACAGGCCAGTGCTCAGTCTACTGAGCCACACCAGGTAGGGCGATGTCTCCTTTTTATACGGACACCAGTTATACTACATTAGGGGCCCACGCTATTCTGATATGACCTCACCTTAAATAATTACAGGTCCAATGACCCTATTTCCAAATAAGGTTACATTCTGAGGTTCTGGGGGTCAGGACTTCCACATCTGAACTGGAGGAGGATGGACACAATTCAGCCCACAACATAGTGAAGATACTCAGTTTAAAGGTGCGCAATAAAATAGACCCTAACAGGCCGCTGCCCCGTTTAAGAAACAAAGGAGGCCGACCTGCTTTTAAACCAGGAGACCCTGGCTCAAAATGCTGACATTGGCAATTTCCTTTTTCTCCTGTTTTTCTGAATCGGGACGATGAACGCAGATTTCCCTTGTTAGTCAGAAGTCCCCACAGGTGCAGGAGGAGCTATCTCCCCAGCTCCGGGCCCCAGCCCTGGCGCAGCTCGCCTGCCCCTGGGCCCCTGGGCCCCTGGGTCCTCGGGCTCCAGACTCCCCGTTGGCCCCAGGGCCTGATTACCGGTTGTTTCCGGCCAGGAGCAGCTCCTCCGGGGACCTGATGAAACTACCTCGCACCGCCCTGGGGAGAAGGAGTCTGTGCTCCAGAGTGAGCCTGGCTTTTTCTTTTGGGTGACCTGAAAGGTTTCAGGACCTGGGTGCTGCTGGAAGAGAAAGTTCTCCCGGGCCCTGTGAGGGTGTGGCCCCCCGGACCCTCTGACCAGGCACTCACTGGCCCTGCCCCTGAGGTTGGGTGGGCACGGGAGTGCCCCTTCTCCAGTTACCCAAACCAGCCGTTTCTTGGCGGTGGTGGTCCTGCCCCACCAGCCTCCGCATCACCAGGGAACTCGTTAGACACGCAAATTCTCGGACCCTACCCCCACCTGCCGAATCAGGAGCCCTGGGGGTGGGTGGGCCCAGCCACTGCGTCTTAGTCAGTCCTCCAGGGGGTTCGGGTCCCCTCTACAGTTTGAGAACCACTGCCCGGAGCACCGAGAGGCATCTTGGGGGGCGGGGGCAAATCGTGTTGTGCCCCTTCATTTCACAGAGGGGAAACGTGTGAGGCATTTTACCGAGAGGACCAGGACCTGGCTCGAGAGACCCAGATCAGGAAGTGGCAGTTAAGGTGGAACTGCAAGTTAGGTCGTGTGTTTTCGCAGTCCCCCCTCTTTGCTCTGACTCGGGCAGACCTCCCAGGTCCACCTGATGTCACGGTGCTGTCACCGTCTGGAAGGTCCCCGTGATGCCAGCGACTGTCAATGCAGCACTTTCTCTGTGCAGCACCGTGCCTCCCGCATTAGCTCATGAATCCTCGCGATACCCAGTGAGACCTGCCGGAGGGCTGGCTGAAGGTCAGGACACCTGCCCAAGGTCACAGGGCTAGGAAGGGCAGAGACAGAACTCAAACCGGCTTTCTCTGCCTCCAGGGCCCATGCTGCAGATAAAAGACCACACCAGACCCTGCAGAGACTGCCACCACCCCGGGGGTGGGGACTGGGGCCCTTCTCCTGTGTCTACAGTTCGGCTGAGACGAAAATCCCCCTGAACAGGCAGAACAGCTGGCAAACAGCTGATGCCGAAAAGCTACTGCCATTCACTCATGCAACAGCCCCCCCTCCGCCCCTTGGTTTGCACACAGCTGTATCAACCTTGGGGGGGGGACAGGGCAGAGTGGAAGCAGCCCACCACTCACCATGACTGACGGAGTCCCCACCCTCTCTGTCACCCCTGCCACCTGCAAGCAGCAGGTGTGCCTCAGGACAAGGCTTCCCGACCTTCACAGCGGGGCACTCACGGAAAACCAAAATATTTGCACAGCCTCTGGGTGGTCGGAGGGCACTGTGGGGGATTTGGAAGTCTTGGCGAAAGTTTTATACCATGTTATTCATAATATACGGATTAGAAACTGTAGTATAAAGCATTAGGGGAGTTGGTGCAGCTCCGCCTTGTATAAAACTTCCAAATAAAACATGACACTGGATAAAAAAGAAGACAGCACAGAAGACCACATGCTACGTGATTCCTTCCCTGTGGCAGTTTGGAAGAGGCAAAGCCATAGGGACAGAAAACAGACCAGTGGTTTCCAGGGCTGGAGGGGGCGGAGGGAGCTGAGGGCAGAGCAGCGGCGTAGGGGAGCTGGGGGGAGAGGCGTTATATAATAATTATACAGATCGCCGTTTCCCTGGCTGCGTTGTGCCAGTGGTGGTGGCAACACGACTATTTACATTGTCAAAGATCATCACAGCAAACGTTACTTTGTCGAGTTAGCGGTGGTTCCCGAACCTGTCAGCTCCTCGGAATGACCGGGCATGGCCTGGTTCAAACACAGTCAGGCTTGACCCACGACCCACTGAATCAGCACCTCGCGGTGGGAGACAGGAGGGGCCTGGACCCGGCGCTTTAACAAGCTCCCCAGGTAGCCGGCGGTGGACTGTGCGGCTTGGGGCCCAGACTTCTGGGGCAGGACGGGTTTCTGAGCTGCTGGCTCCAGCCCAGACTTGAACCCTGTGTTCCAGACTCGAGGAGCCACCCCCCGCCTGACAGCTGTGCCTGGGTGTCAACTGCAGCACGTCGAGAAGGGACCTCCTAACCTGCCCCCAAACCAGCCTCACCCATCGTCTTCCCCATTCTTCCAGGAATTCTGCCAAAAACGTTGCCATCGTCCTCAATTCCTCTCCTCTTTCTCCCCCCCCTTCGTTGTTGTTTGTTTTTTATTTCACAATTATAAACTTAACTCTTCGGTCCAAGGACGTGGACTTGGACGAGGGCAGCACGGAACCCCAGCGGCTGCGGCGAGAGCAGGAGGACGGTGGGGTGCTGTGAGCGGCAGGCGTGGGGGCGCCCTCCTGGGCTGCGGGAGGGACGCTCTGGCGGTCGAGATACAGCACAAGCCGGCGGCAGCGCTGCCCGCACACAGCCAGCAGCGGCTACCGGCCTCGTGGTTCCCGGCCCCGAGGCGCGCTGCACGGCTCCCGCGGAGCTCATGGCCTTTTCACCTGCCCGGAGGCCGCGCGCTTGCCATCCGCCACTCGGGCCTGGCAGCACCGAGGAGACACCGGAACCGTCTGTGTTGGTCCAGCTTTTGCCAGGGACCAGGCGCCAGGCCCCGCGTGCTTCAGGGTGAAATTCTCGTCATCCTCTCTCTCGCGGCCGATGGACCCGCCCCCGGTGCCACTGCCGTGTGTGAAGTCACCGCGCTGGCACGTACGACCCAGAAGAATTCCGTGAAAGCAGGAGTCGTCATGGCCAAGTTATTTCTCACCAGGGCTCAGGGCGTGAAAGGTCCTGCTGTCTTTGGAAGTCGGTCTGCAAGGAGCTTGGAGGGCCGGCCAGCAGGTCCGAGAACGCGGCGGTGGGGCTGAGTCTGGTTGGGGCGGCGCCCAGGGGGGCGGCAGCTTCGGTGTCTGTAAAGCCTCCTCCTCTCTTGAAATTTGGGGGGGGG